GTTAGTTAGATAGTTAGTTAAATAGTTAGTTAGTTAGTTAGTTAGTTAGTTAGTTAGTTAGTTAGTTAGTTAGTAGTTAGTTAGTTAGTTAGTTAGTTAGTTAGTTAGTTAGTAGTTAGTTAGTTAGTTAGTTAGTAGTTAGTTAGTTAGTTAGTTAGTTAGTTAGTTAGTTAGTTAGTTAGTTAGTTAGTTAGTTAGTTAGTAGTTAGTTAGTTAGTTAGTTAGTTAGTTAGTTAGTTAGTTAGTTAGTTAGTTAGTTAGTTAGTTAGTTAGTTAGTTAGTTAGTTAGTTAGTAGTTAGTTAGTTAGTTAGTTAGTACAAAAAGGCGGACGATTTATTTTAACTTCATCCTAGGCCACTATTGGGCCTGTATGAACTCCATTACCAGAGTCTTGCATATTATCGAACCCAGCTATCCTACATTTTGGAAGGCAATGGTGCGTAGGATCAACTTTGGTCCAATCAGCTTCTCCTTTGCACAGTTCTCCGCTCCTATTACATTCTTTCAACTTCAGTTTCCTCTCTCACTTACAAATCATATTTTTACGTTTAAAACTAATTATTGCCCCTTTATAGCAAATACCAAATTATCATTTACAAAAAAAACAAAAAAAAATACCTTAACAAACCAATTCTTACGGCAATTTGATCTTAGCCTCTAAGGAATATAATTTATAACATCTTGGCAACTCTGCTAAGTGTACCAAACAATATGTTGTGCCTTATGTGGAATATATGTATGTTATGGATACATGAAATGGCAACAAAATAAAAAAAAAAACTAAAGAACCAACAATCAAAAATAGAATAGAACTTGGCAAGAAGGTATGAACAACAACAACAACAACTAAAAATGAAGCTATATAATTCGTAAGTCATAAAGTTAACACATACAAACACTCTGACATTTTTAAGGTTGTAGCTAGTTGTTGCAAACAACTACCTGATATCATATGAAAGATCATGATGATGTTTATTGTTATAATAATTATGATGATAGTAGTAGGAGCTATTGTTGTGTGAACTATGATAAACATAATTCCCTAGATAGTATTTATTAATACTAGAATAAAGTTAGTTTCCGTTCTCATTTCTAGTTTATTTATGGATAGTGGTGAGGTGGGATTAAATAGTACTAATTTTGGTACATTTTCTATGAGAAAAGTACTTAAATGGTACAAATGAATTTCTCTTTAAAAATTCTTCAATATTTGTGGTCAAATTTTAACAATTATTTAATAGGATAACTTTTTAAGGAGTTAACACTTTCTAACTAAATTCCGAAATTTATTGACTGAATTACCTTTAAAAATTTTGAAGACTCGTTATGAAACAATTTTCAAGGTTCTTTCTACTTTTATTGCTCTTTTTTTTCTTGCAAACTGTTGTAGCTTTTCATTTTCATCTGCTGTTCTTTTTTTTTTCAAATATCACTCACTACACGAAATATTTTTCACAATGAAAATCTAAAACACAAACATCATGATTCATTTTATATATTTTTTTTTGTTAATTTTTACCACCAACTCCATTCAGTCAGCAAGGCAGTGAGGCAGGCAACCAGCCAGCCAGTCATCCACTCGCTCATATATTTTTTTTTTTTGCAACCATCCATCCAACGTTCGTTCACTCGTTCGTTGCAATAATGAAAAATCCTGACAAAAGCTGACTTAAAAATAAATCGCGGTATACATGGCCATTGATGTGAGAAAATTGCATATGAAATTAAAGTGTGCATTCGTCGTTATTAACACAATCTTCTATAACGACATAAAGCAGCAAAGTTTTTTGTTTTTTGAACTACAAATATTTTACACTGTGCTGCTGAAAAAAAAAACTGGCTTTGTTGTAGTAGGCTTGGTTGTAGTTGTTGTTGTTGGCTGTTTGATATGTTCGAATATAAAATATGTACACAAATTAAATCACACATACCCCTGCAGGAGTGATATAAATTTTATAGTTTCATTGAAAGGGGGCTAATACGAATATTTAGACACACTTCGGTATTAAACTAATATAGAAGTGAACTTCGCTGTTTGAAGGCATCGGACAAATTTAATTTATTGTCATTGACTTGATTTTTGAGATAACGTAAGATTGAACTGCAGTCATCCTAACATTTACACGCTGATGGCAAGTTAGCAAAAAAACTCAAATCCCAGTTGGATCTGATATGACTGCAGGACAAAGCCCCGATGTAAAGTCGATCCCCTAAACGTGATGAATGTTTGCGAAACCGTCTTTTTTTTCATATTATCTTGGATTGAATCGATCTTGTTCAGCTTATGATCCTAACGGCAAGTTCCTCTAGTTAAAGTGTAACCAGGACAGTCAGTTATATCTGACCCAATGTTAAATAAGCCAAGTTTGAGTTGCAAGCTTCAGGTTCTCCTGCATATTTTCACGACCTGCGCGATAATTTCGACGATCCAGCGTTCCACTGGCGTCGTCACAGTTATTATGATTTATAATTCTTGGTCCTCCTGCACATTGTGGAAATTTCATTGATCTAGAGTATCGAATGATTGTTTCGGATATGGCTTTATCTTTGATCTACGGCACATTTTACAAATCCGAAGCCTAATTCTGATGCGAAATTCCAGAAGTTAAAATCTTCGCCGTCCAGGTATGGGCATATGCCCAAATCCTGATGCAAAGTAAAAGTATTCGAAGTAAGTCTTAGTTGTTGTTACCAGCAAGTCTCAAAAACCTGGATCAGTTCGATGCAAATTCCCCATGCTTATCGACAGAATCAATATTTTCGTCTATCTCTAACTTGGTGAATGTTTTCCAAACTGTTGGTTTCACATCTTGGATAGAATGGATCATGTTCAGATGCTGATTTTGGTACTGACGTCAATTCCTCTAGTTAAAGTCTACACAGCACAGTTTGTTGAATGTCACAGCACAGTGTGTTAAGTCGGAAAAAGTCTTTGTTCTTATAAACTTCAAACCTCATGTTCTCCTACATATTTTCACGACAGCAGTGACAATTTAGAAGATTGTCGTCACAAATCTGACATTGACTGGCAACAAGAGGATCATGCACAGATGCAGACCCTATTGCTAATGGGAAATTTCCCAAGCTAAAGTCTAGGAAAATCCAAGAAAGTCGTCCGCCCTTCAAGAAGACGTCTGCCTCGCGTTCTACTGCTCTAGTTTTGTGCTACATTTTCTGCCAATCGGGTATTTCTCTTTCAGACTCTAAAAGTCTAGACATCATATTAACGAAGTTGCACAAGTTTTGATGGATTTTGTATATGTTCAGGTCATGAAAGAATGTGTTCTTGCGATTTATAAGGGCTGTGATTTCCTGCTCATCATGGATATTTCGCCGATCTAGAGTATACTTATCGTGCAAGGTCGAGTGATTGCTATCAAAAGAATGCTTTTGCATTAGTCCGAAGCCTTAATTTGATGCCAAACTCCACAAGTTAAAATCTCCGATATCCTGGTTCTTAAGTTTAATATTGTATGGACATATACTTAAGTCCCGTAGCAAAGTAAACGTCTTCGAATGTCTTAGTTCTTGTTACTAGCAAGCCTCAGGTTCTGTACAGATAGAGACTCAAATCCCGAATGTAAATTTGCCATGTTTATGTGTGCGAAAGTGCAAGTTTTGCACTTAAATTAATCGATTGTCTTAAGCTATGCTTTGCCGATCTAGAACCCCTTTCGTCTATGTTAATAGATTGATTTCTCAATCGAATTTTCTGAAATTAGGATATCAAATGTTCCATTGAGTTTTAGTTTTAGATAACAAAAGAGATCTTTTCTTTTTAATACTTCATTTAAGAAAAGGAATATGTTTCCAAACGAAAATACCATCAATTTATCAACTATTTCCATCCTCTCCTCTGCACAAGTTTTACGCAACCGTATTAGGAATAAAAAGAGATTGATTTTAGAACCTCAAAGTTCTAATCTTTCTCATGCTTTATTTACAACCGATTATAGAGCTTAAAAAAATTTGTTTGAGATCAGACCTTCAGAATCTTCAAAATCCTACCTTTGGCAATGTTTTAAGATTGAAATTATTGATTTCTATCGTTTTATAACGAAGTCTATGTGATCAGAGACTGATTTAAAATCTTAAATTTGTGATCATATTCATGCTTTATCAATCGGTTTAAAGAAAGAGAAGATAAAGTTTTACTTAAACTCAAGAGAAATGCCAATTTTTTTCATGACCGGAAAAGACAACTTACACCTTCCTATTGGAGGTTAGAAGGTCTCAAACATGAGAGATCTTTAATATTTTACTTTGTCATATATCTTATTTATTATTCTTTACAATTTAAGTCCAATGATTATAAATTGAACCCAAATTATAACAACCTTTTGGCGATCTGATGCCGAACTATACCCCAGCTATTCAGATTGTCGTCCTTGCCATATTAATTGACGGAAAAATCAACTGATTTCGATATAAAAACCACAATTAATACTTTTCTACCACCACAAAACCAATGATATTGTTATCCAATTGAAGGTGCACAATATCCATATATATCCTCTTGTCAATAGTTATCCACTATCGCAGTTGCACTGTAGGGCACAACCGCAATAACCGAACAAAGAAACAGGGGAAAAAACGTAGTGATCATAGATTTTATTATTACAACTGACAGCTTCAGAAATGTTTCATGCAGAAAATTGTGCAAAAATATTAAATGTTATTTAACAAAACGTTCAGTTATGATGGAGAAGAGAAGCCTTTTTACAATTCCCACTTCCATACATGTGTTTTATTTATTAAAGAGTTTTGTTAATTTTTTTGTACAAAATTAATTTAAACATGGTTGAACACCTAAACATGTGAATTCTTTGAATACAAAGTCTCCGAAATTTATAACATTTCCACAAAATCGTTAAATTTGTCGTGAAAGGATAAATATTAGGATATCAGGACTCGTTGTAGTCTATATATTGATTTACTCTTTCTATGTTCTTTAAGTATTTCATCATTTAATTAAATATTTTCCTTTCCATCCTTCTAGGTACAAAATCGAAGTAGCCGGCAAGAGTCTTCCCTCCTTAACCAATTTGGATAAGGGTCGTTATGGCGTTATAGTCTTTGAAAATCTCGATAAATATTTGCACATGGACAAATGGAATCGTGAACTCTTAGACAAATACTGTCGCGAATATTCCGTAGGCATTGTGGGTTTTGTAAGTCCAAGTGAAGAGACTCTAGTGGCGGCACAACTTAAAGGATTTCCTCTCTTTGTTCATACAAATCTAAGACTACGTGATGCCAGTTTAAATCCGGCTTCACCTGTACTGCGTTTAACTAGGGCTGGTGAAACAGCTTGGGGTGCCTTACCCGGTGATGATTGGACGGTTTTTCCAACATAATCATTCCACATATGAGCCCGTCGAATGGGCTCAGCGTAATAGTCAAGATTATCCTTCAGATGCTGGCGGACAAGTCCATCTGCCTTTGTCCACCGTCCTACAAGATCATGGTCAATATGATGGCATAAAGCGCATATTCTTTGGCAGTAGTTTGAAATTTTGGCTTCATCGCTTACTGTTTCTAGATGCCCTATCCTATTTAAGTCACGGTCAATTAAGTTTGAACTTGGAGCGCATGATTTTAGTGGATATAGATGATATATTTGTGGGTGAAAAAGGCACTCGTCTTAGGCCCGATGATGTTAGAGCTTTGGTGGCTACACAAAAAATTATAGCTGGCATGGTGCCTGGTTTTCGCTTTAATTTAGGCTTCTCAGGGAAATACTATCATCATGGTACTAGAGAGGAAAATCTGGGTGATGATTTTCTACTGCAAAATGTTCAAGAATTCAATTGGTTTTCACACATGTGGAAACATCAACAACCGCATTTGTATGATAATGTCACACTACTCATGTCGGAGATGCAACTTAATCATGCCTTTGCCGTGGAACATAACATACCCACGGACTCGGGTTACTCCATATCGCCACATCATTCAGGTGTCTATCCCGCCCATGAAATTCTCTATGAAGCCTGGAAGAAAGTTTGGCATATAAAGGTGACCTCAACAGAGGAATATCCACATTTAAGACCGGCCCGCTTAAGAAGAGGTTTCATACATCGCAACATAATGGTGCTGCCGCGTCAAACATGTGGTCTCTTTACCCACACCATGTACATAGATCGTTATCCTGGAGGTAGAGATAAACTGGATGAATCCATTCAAGGTGGTGAACTGTTCCAGACTATAGTCTATAATCCTATTAATATCTTTATGACACACATGTCAAACTATGGTTCCGATCGTTTGGCTCTGTACACCTTTCAGTCGGTGATTAAATTTCTACAATGTTGGACCAATCTCAAATTGGCCTCAGCTCCTCCCATCCAATTGGCCGAAATGTACTTTCGTCTACACCCCGAAGAGGTAGATCCCATATGGGGTAATCCCTGCGATGATCCCAGACATCGTAAGATCTGGTCGAAAACCAAAAGTTGTGATTCCCTGCCAAAATTCTTAGTTATTGGTCCACAAAAAACTGGCACCACCGCTTTGTATACATTCCTCTCAATGCACTCGGGCATTGTTAGCAACATACCCAGTCCAGATACTTACGAAGAGGTACAATTCTTCAATGGCAATAATTACTATAAAGGCTTAGATTGGTATATGGACTTCTTTCCCGCCGAAGTGAATACCACTGTAGCACCCAATTCCAGTCCACGTTATATCTTCGAAAAGAGTGCCACCTATTTTGATGGCGAAATGGTGCCGAAACGCGCACACGCTTTACTGCCACATTCGAAAATTGTAACGATTTTAATATCACCAGCTAAAAGAGCTTATTCATGGTATCAGCATCAGAGGGCCCACGGTGATACTATTGCAAATAATTATAGTTTTTATCAGGTAGGTAACGAAAAAAACTTGATTTGTTTTATCCATTAAACACTTAAAATTCTACAAATTTAATTGGTCTTTTTTAAAAAGGACAATTTATTTACTAGTGAAAAAGAATGTAATTTTAATTATTTGAAGTAGTTTTATATTGTTATTTTACACCCAAAGATAGAGTAAATATTTATGTACGTAATGTTTAGAGAAAAAATTGTGTAAAAAAAAAAAAAAAAACAGAAAACAAACCCAAAATTAAAAGTACAATTTAATAATGATACCAAAAAGTTAAAACAACACTTACGTTAAAATCAGATCATTAAAGGAATGTTTTCATTTATGTTACAAGAAGGGCCTGGATAAACTTTCACAAACAAGTTCTTAACGCCAAACTGATCAAAGCTTTCGATCAATAAGACTGTAATCAAGCTATAACAACTAATTATTTTGGCATACCTATAATCCTTTTATAATCTATCAACAAATCCTTTTAAATAACATTGTCCAAAACAATTCTCTCAACTTCTTAATTTTCCCCAAAATTGTCCAATAAATTTCTCTCATTATCAACTCCCCTCCACCTCTTTCACTATGCTTTCGGAAAATTCCAATAAAATTCAACTTGTTAATTCTTATACAATCATTATTCTGATGTAATTAATTTACTTTGAATGGATTTCCTTTTTATCCTCATTCCCACATTTCTCACATTGATAGAGACTAACAATAACGAAAAAACTCTTTGCCACAAATTTGTGGAATAATTGAGAAAACTTTGTTACAACAAAACCGCAGTAGCAGCAGCTTTTCTAAAGAATATAATACACAAAAAAAACATGGTCAAGTGTATACTTTTGATGAATAATCAGACCTTCTTAAAGGTGGCTTCACTAGGGGGGTAGTGAGGTATTCGACAAGAGATTTGTCTTCTTACTCACAGTACGATGTAACATGTTGTGATGGCACTAAACACAATATAGAAGAGATTTTAGTTGTCCCTGTAACTGAAGGACATGTAATGAAGGACTGAATATCTAATGTTTATAATGTGTATTGTATGTTATGTGGCAAGAAGGTTTCTCATGTGTGGTACCTTCGTGTATACGTGTGTGGATGATATTTTGTTCCTTGACAAAAAATTGTAATGGGAAAATAGAACAACAATTGTTGTGGCAGAAAAATACCAGAAAATTTAAATGTTTTGTTTTTCTATACAGGTCATATAATCCTACATCCTGTTGCTGCAATTATAGACCAAGTAACAAATACCACTACGACGTAATGCTTTTAATGATGCGAGGGTTATATGATGAGGATCGTTTGAGATACTGAATGTAGGCAAATTAGATTAAACATTCCCAAATATGAATATACAAAGCTAGATAGATAGATAAATAGATAGATAGATAGATAGATAGATAGATAGATAGATAGATAGATAGATAGATAGATAGATAGATAGATAGATAGATAGATAGATAGATAGATAGATAGATAGATAGATAGATAGATAGATAGATAGATAGATAGATAGATAGATAGATAGATAGATAGATAAATAGATAGATAGATAGATAGATAGATAGATAGATAGATAGATAGATAGATAGATAGATAGATAGATAGATAGATATATAGATAGATAGATAGATAGATAGATAGATAGATAGATAGATAGATAGATAGATAGATAGATAGATAGATAGATAGATAGATAGATAGATAGATAGATAGATAGATAGATAGATAGATAGATAGATAGATAGATAGATAGATAGATAGATAGATAGATAGATAGATAGATAGATAGATAGATAGATAGATATATAGATAGATAGATAGATAGATAGATAGATAGATAGATAGATAGATAGATAGATAGATAGATAGATAGATATGATAGATAGATAGATAGATAGATAGATAGATAGATAGATAGATAGATAGATAGATAGATAGATAGATAGATAGATAGATAGATAGATAGATAGATAGATAGATAGATAGATAGATAGATAGATAGATAGTTAGTTAGTTAG